TTCCTGTGTACAGTTTCTGTACTGGTCAACTTGTGCTCTATTAGCAAACCTAACATCAGTTGAAAACTGGTGAGCATATTGTTGAATGGCACATTCTGATTAGCGTGGGAGATGGAAGCAACAAGTCTGTCCACAACATCATCCAGTTTGTTACTATACAAATAAGGATTTAATGACTGAGTTCCAGGATAAATGTCTAAATTGAAGGCATTTACATAGGCATACATTTTTAAGCCATATTTTGACCAATCATTTTTCTTAGGAGTCTCTTGCATTCCTCTGATCACCATCAAAAATCTCTGCTTAGTATAGTACATGCTTTCAGTTCAATTAGTGAGGTGTCATAGTAAATGCATTTTTTAATATGGCTATCAGTGCTACAGAATATTTTACTTGCATTTCATCCTTTATGTATTTCTTAGCATCTTGTAGCATTTTTCTGTCAAAATTTCCAACATTAAATGGTGGTGCTGACATTCTGTCCAATACCTTTCACCCCTGCCAAGGCCTCCCTATATTTTCAGACTTTCTTTTCATATTGGATTGTTCCATTTGGTTGCATGGAACTTCATAACATTTCAACTTGTCAAATATGTACTCACATTGGTGTTTTCTTCATCTGAATCAGGAGGTCTGCATTCCCTATCAGTATGTATCAGTTGATTGTTGCTCTGATTCACTGTCACTGATCCTTTGGCTAACTTGGTCAGTATCAAAGTCATCAGGGCCATCATCACCACCACCATCCAGCCATACCACTCTTGTTATGAAAACATGTATTTTACCATAATAGCTCATCTTCATCATCAATTCATAATCTGATAATTCACTTCTGACCTCCAAACCTTGCAAATCTGGTTTTTCTTGTTCCATAGTCCTGAATTGGGCTGCTTCTATCAGAAAAATCAAAAGAAAAACAAGTCATAGAGTAGTGTGGGTCTACTGGACCCTCTGTGATCGCTAGATAAACAACTCCAAAGCCAGTTAGATGGAGATTAAGTTGGTAGAAATCCTGTTTTGCTACTTTTGCATGCATGCACCAACTTTCACTTTATCTTACCAAGTGGGTAAACACATACTTTGTCTCTTGTGTCCCTCATGGAAAGGCACTGAGGCACACAGTCACCTACTATGATTCTAAAATACAAATTAAGAATGGAAAAGGAAGGGATGGACCTGCTACCCCAGTGCTATGTATCTGGGATTAAATAGTGGAATACACTGATTGGTTTTCAAATCCTGAAACTGTACTGAAATTTGTTACTGGTGTGAAAATTGCTTGCATACAGTGCATTGTTAATTCTCTGATAATTTCTTGTAATTCTTGAGAATGTACAAAAAAGACAGCTAATTTTGGTCATTCTTTTTAATACCAACTTTTTCTAATTTTTAAAGAAATGTTTTGTTTCTTGGAACCATAAAATTATCAATTCAGTTTATTAATGATTATAGGGGTGTTAAGTTATTTTAGTTTTATCAGCAGGAAACTGGGTCATGATGCAACAAGGAACCAGCCCTTCAATTCTTTGATCCTCAGTTATTTTATCCTTTGATTAAAGAATTCACTCAAAACACATACCTACACTTGAAGAAGTATGTGTAGAATTTATTTCAAAGAAAAGAGTATTATTTCTTCAAACAAGAAGGCAGAGCAACAAAGGCATCTGCAAGTGCAAGTTTAAGCACCTTTTCATGTACACAAAAATTACTGCTGCTGTATAGGAGATTAAGGAAAATATGAAAGGTTTCAACATATTATTTAGAAATTATGTTAGAATTGGGAAATGTCTTTCTGAACTTTTTATTTGGCTAGTGTTTCCATAGGGGTTTAATCATATAAGGAATATTCAATGGATGTTAATTTAAACCATGTCTCAGCCCAAAATAGCTGGGTGGGGGTAAAAGTTGGGGTATCTTTGAAGCACATTTATTTCCTGATATCATGGGATCATAGGCTGTGGAAGCCAGGAATGCTTTATGCTTTATGCTAGAGTTGGGCAACCAGGTCAGCAGGTGCAGTATCAGAAGGAATGTGCACAGTGAATATAACCTTCAGAGGTCATTATGGTCTGTGTGAACACTTGGGGCCTAACCACCATTATGCTGTTATAGTCTGTGAATGCCAATATGTGAAAGACTCATATAAATGATTTAGCATCTTTTACCTTTATTTGAGTAGTTCGTTTCAATCCAAATGATGTCCTAAATATTTTCTATGTTTTTACACATTGCATAATTTTATTACTTTTCTAAGGCACTCAGGTATTGAATAATTTAAGTATATCACATATTCTATATCTTGATCTATCTTTGGATTCTATTGTGGTTTACATAAAACATTGGAAGGTGGTAACAATATATTTTAAGCTAGCAAACTAAATTAAGTTGTAAACAGATATTCTCCATATTAACCTCCCTGTAGCTTAGTTGAATGTTTTCATGATTGCTGTTTTTTATGTTTTGGTTATAGTTAGTTTACCACTTTTGTATTTTTACATTTTCTACTAGAATTAAAAGTAATTTAACCACTAATGTTATAGTAACATCATATTCTATCTGTATATTTACCTTTCCAATGAGTTTCATGTTTGTGTAATTGTATTCTCATTTAGTGTATTTTCATATCATCCTAATAATTCCCTTTTATATTACCTGTAATATTAAATATATTTAATACCTGGCATGCAGACAAATCCTCCCTTCCTTAAAGAAACTTGGAACTACAGATCTCTTGTCATGACTTCAGTGCACCATCTCTAGCTTCTTCAGAGCCTGAAACAAAGCCCCATTTGTTTTAGTGAGTCTGGTTCTCATTCTCTAGAGAAAAGAGAATATTCTGGTTAGATTTCACTATCCATAAAAGAGTGTTTGTTTGTTTATTTGGGGGTTTTAAGCATGAATTATAACTATATAGTGAATTTTTAAAACAAGCAGGATCTGAGGCTTCCTACTCCACCTTCTTTCACCACAATCTTGGCCACTCGTTCTTTGAATACTTCTTCAATGCCTCAGTTTTCTCTTCTCTTTCTAGGATTTTTAAATACATTTTGGATGTTTGGTAATTGTTCCACAGGTCCTTGAGGCTCCACAGAATTACCAGCTCATTTGCTCTATTTTTCATATTGAATAAGTTTAAATTCTACTTGATCTGTTCATCAATTTCTATGTTCAGTCATCTCCACTGTATTATTTAATGTAGCTAGTGTATGATTGTTTTGGTTATTATGTTTTTAAGTTCTCATATTTTCATATGTTTTTCAGCTTCTGTTTCTTTGCTTAGATTGTTATTAATGCATTTTCTTTAGTTGATGTATAATTTTTCATCGATGCAGTTTATTGTGGGTGCCCTAAAACCTTCTCCTCATAAATCCAAGATACTAGTTATCTCAATATAGGCATTGGTGATTGTAGTTTTTATTCTTTTCGTGATGTGCATAACTTAATAAATATGAAGGATTTTCTATGTAGCAGTTGGGTAAGGAAACACTTGATCCTGTTTATTTTTTCATTCTTTAGGGAAGAGAGAATATTCTACTTAGATTTCACTATCCATATAAGAGTGTTTGTTTGAGGTTTTAAGCATGAATTATAACTTTATAGTGAGTCTTTTTTTTTTTTTGTGGAACCGGGGATTGAACTCAGGCCCTTGCACTTGCTAGGCAAGCACTTATTCTACTGAGCCATCGACCTCAGCAAGCAGGATCTGAGGCTTCCTACTCCATCTTCTTTCACCATAATCTTGGCCACTAGTTCTTTGACTGGAAACTAGTATTCCAGTTTAAATTTAGATTTAGTATGGTTCCTCTTTGAGTGACAAGTTATCTTCTTAGGTTTAGCAATATTTGAACTTCATTTTTCTGGCTCTGCAGTAGCTCCTTCTTTCTTGTAGTTTTGTTATACCTATTAGTCTATGAAGTTTTTCTGGTATTATTTGGTAAAGGTAGGTACTGAATGATCGGTAGGGTGAAAAGCATTTTCCCAGTTAGCTACTGATATGCATGTGCTTTATTTGACCCTCTTTATCAGGAAAATTACTGTGAAACTTAGGAGACTATCTTTGTTTCTTTGTTTGGGGAATATCTCATGATCATCCACCAGCATAGTTAAGAATAAATCTCTCTGTTCTGGACTGCTTGCTATCTTCCCTGGGCTGATAGTTAGGCATTGTTATCTTTCTAGCACTCCATAAAGAACTTGTAGCTACAGGTCATGTTGACAGCACCTAGTTGATGTTTCCTGCTCTTGTTTAGAAAGAAGCAGGCTGTGTATATCCCATGTGCACTGAGAAGGGCTTGGTGGTGATTTTAGTTGAAACACACTGCTGTAAGTGGGTGTTGGGCATAAGATCTCTTCACACTGTGGGGCTGTGCTGCAGGCTAGGCTTCTTGAGAAAAAGGAAGTAGTTAGTGATGAAGATGCATACAGATCAACTCATAATGAAGATGGAGATTAAAATTTTCCACTTTAGTGGAACAGAGGAATATAATTGATTTTAGATGCCACTAGATTTAAAAGAAAAGCCAGGAATACTGAAAGAGAATATCAGGGGAAGACTCAGGAAAGGAAAATATTGTTAAGTCATTAACAAAGAAATATAAACTAGGAATAATCAATTATCTCTATAGTGAGATGTTACAGAAAAATCAAGAAAACAAGATTCTTTGGGCAACTAAGGAATACAATGAAAACTTTCACAGTTGCAGTCAAAATAATGTAGTAAATTGTATAGTGATGGCAGTTAAACACAGTGCTGAAGCTATTTGATTGTCAAAGAAAAGATTCAGTTAAGAGAAATGCTTTTTGAATTTTAGATTTATAGCAAGAATGACTTGGGAATATGGGGATCATGATTATCAATAAATAATAAGATGAAGAGGTAAGCATTGAAGCAGAGAAAATGCAATGAAATATCTTAATGGATAATATCTAGGAATAGTGGTCAAATCAAGGACTTCATTTGTAAAACATCAATGAGTATAACTTCCTATACTTCTTTTTAGGATCATTGTTTTTATGAAGGACATGCAGCAGAAGTTCCAAAGTCATTTGTGGTATTAAGTGCCTGTGCTGGACTCAGGTAATGGCATGTTCCAGAGCACCCACATTTAAAGATCTTGAGTAATACCTTACTTTCCAGAAGCTTTTCCAAGGTATCATGAAGATAAAGACATATGGACTTTGATGTTTTTCTTATATACTTTCTGTACTTCTTTCTCTTCATTGTATCACTTCCCCTATTTTTCTTTCTATGCTAGGCCTACAATTATAAAATTCATGCAGTAAAATGTCTCAGTGTCATGAAGAGGGGTACAGTAGGAGTCCCCAAAACTCCTAAAGGTTGTAATAGAAAATATATGGAATGTATGAATTTCTGTTTTTAACAAGGCTGTCCTTGCCATGTCAACTAGTAAAGGACCCTGTAAGAAAAGAAAATAGTAGGCTAACATCCTCAAAAAACATATATGCCAAAATCCTGAATAATATATTAACAAATGTAATTGACAAATGCATCAAAAGAACATTCATTGAGTCAGAGTGGGATTTGTCTCATGGAAGCAAGGATGGCTTAACATAAACAAAGCAATAAAAACAATATGTAGCATGATCAAAATGAAGGGAAAAAAGCTGAAATTCCAAGCAGAAATGTATATTATGTAATTCAATACCTTTTCATGAAAAAAAATGAGAAGTATATGTCTCGACCATTTAAAGGCCATAAATGACAGTTGTATAGCTAACGTAATTCCAAACCATGAAAATTAGAAATCCTTTCCTCCAAGGTTAGAAATGAGACAGAATACCTACTTATACCTACTTATCACCACTTCTATTCAACATAGCACATAGCTCTAGCAATGAAGCAAGAGAAGGAAAGAAACAACAACTAAATTGTAAAAGATTATTCACAGATGATTCTATCTCTTCCTCTTTTAATAGATATTTCTTCCAAAACTTTAGAACTGAATAAATGTATTGGTAATGTTGTAGAATAAAATTCAACACATAAAATTAGTACCATTTTATACCTTTACAAAAATTACCTGGAAAGGAGATAAAACAAGCAATTTGATTTGTACTACCTACTATAAAATAAAAGTTTTAAGGAATAAATTTAACCAAGAAAGTTAAAGACCTGTATATTGAATACTATAAAATGATAAAGAAAAAGTTGAAGATACTGCTGTTCACTGGACCAAAGCCTGAAACCAGGTGTCTCTGTTACTTTACTCTCCCTGCTTGGACAAAATACTCAACAAAATCAAGGAAGGAAAAGGTTTATTTAGCTTACACGTTGTGGAGGTGTCAGTCAACACTTGGCTGCCTCCAAGACAGAGTGGTACATGGCAGAGAGCAACCATTCATAGCAGTGGAAAACAGCAAAGAGCAAAAGGAGGAGCAGTGGCTATGGCAGCTAGCAAGCCTCTTTCCCCTCCTTATATTACATACAGGCTATCTGCCCCAAGGTGGGTGTAACACTTCCACCCATAATTCCAGCATTGAATCATGAATTTATCACAAACTCCAGAAGCCTGCCCCAATGACTGCATGAGGCTTGGGCGGGGGGGACACCTAGACACAAACAATTACGCCAAATTTTATTAATTGACAAAGATAAGAGTATCTAGGGAATGATTGACTGTGGGAAATACATGAGTACTACGAGCTGCACTTGGTAGGAAGCATAATAACACCTCTGCAATATGCAGAGAAAGATATACAGAAGGAATAGTCTACACAGCACAGCTTGCTTTTTAGGGTCAGTGCTTCAGCTTTGATGTCCAGTCCTCATGCCCTGAGACTCAGGGCTTCTTTCTTGAGCCTGAGTCTCAGCCAACAGCAGGACAGTACCATGTCACTAGGCCTACCTCATGCATATGACCTGTCACATTGCTTTAAAGTCTTCACATCAGCATGTAAGCTATATCAATTTGCATTGCTTAAAGCCAGTTGATGGGGTAAAGAAATATCATGGCCAACTCCATACATATCAATACATGGAAGTAGAGTCAGGTTTAGCTAAAATGGAGACAAATGCCCTTCTTTTAAGGAAAGCTGTTCTATGGGTCTCCACAAAGATTCATAGGTTTTGAAAAGGAAAAAAAAAACCATAGGTTTTGGCAGTAAAATAGCCTGTATGACCATATTTAAATAGTGTTGAGAATAATATCATAATACAGTATAGATTAAATATTACCTTATCTGTATTTGCATATTTTATCTCAGAGTATTATAACTGCATTCTTGATCATTAAAAATTAAATTTAAGGGCTGGTGAGATAGATCAACAGACTAAATGCCTGCTTAGGCAAGCGCAGGGACCAGGGTTTAATCCCAGTCCGATATGTCTCGTGGTCCTGTCTCTGGGGTACACTGAGCCAGTAAACAAGTCCAGGCGTAGTGACACATGCCTGTAATTCCAGTGCTTGGGAGGCTGAAAATAGGAGAATCACTAGGAGTCTGAGCTGCATAGTGAGACCCTGTACAAAATACAAAAAATGGGGGGAAAAATAAATTTAAATCTGATAGGGTGTGCTTAGGTAACACTGCAAAGATCATTACCTAATAGATGTTACATATTTAACATTAACTTATATTTCTCATGGAAAACATGTCTTGTCTTTTTATTTCTTTTCTTGTGTTTGAACATTTAGAGGATTGTTACAGTTTGAGAATGTCAGTTATGTGATCGAACCATTGGAGTATATACCTACATATGTGCATATGATTTATCAGATCATGAATAATAAGGCTCACTCCTCGTTACCAGAAAGCTACACTGTGACTCCACCTCCACCTCAGTCCTACAGAATTCATGTGAAACAAGAAGTGAGTAACCCTTTCTGTGAGATCCTCATCTAAGTTACTTTTAGGAAACTTATTCACATTCAAATTTGAGATTCTTCTCATTGTGGGAAAAAACCTTTAAAGACATGTTGATTATAAGAAAGCTGATGTCATAGGGTAGAATATCTTTAAAAATATTCTTGTATACAATTTAGAAGTATATGACGCATAGATTAAAAATAATTATAACCATGAAAGTTTTGCCCTAACTGTAAGACTTTTTAATGTTTAATGCACCTAAAGATTATGGTAGTTTTACTAAATATGCATGCTAATATTACAAAAGTTTTCACATTTCCTGGATATTACATGACAAGTATTTCCTTTCAAAGCATATTTTTGAGAACTTATTAGTCTGGTAGCAAATTTAGAGGTACAAAAGCTGGAGGAGAATTGACTAGAAATTTGTCCATATATGATGATTTAGAGAAAGTGTTATTTTGCATTATTTGTTCTACTTATTATTCGTTAATTAATATATATTTGTAATACATATTGAATAATTTCACTGTGGCTATTTGGTATATTTGATGATACATTTTAAATTTTATGTCCCTTTTTGTTCTTCTCCCTTCTTCTTGTCTTGGTGCCCTTCCCATTTGCAACTGTATATCCCTGTTTCCTTTCATTTACCTTTCATTCTGCTCTTTAACTTATTTATATTTTTGTTGTTCATATTAGAGAAACTATGTTTCTTAGGCATGTGTGTCTTATTTTAATATTGGGATCTCAAAGTACATCCATTTTTCCTACAAATAACTCAAATTTACCCTCCTCCATGGCAGAGTAGTACTTTATTGTGGCTAAATATTATATTTTCTTTATCTATTCATCTATTGATGGGCATATAGACACCGAGATTTCGCTGTTATGAGTTGTGCTGCTATAAGTCTGGGTATGTATATGCAGCTGTAACGTGGCTACTTTAACTCTTTTTTTCCATAATTTTATTGATAAGCAAATAGCAATGAGACAGTTTCAAATCAAATTGCTAGGACAGTTTCAATAATTAACGCATTGCATACATTCCTCCCAGTGGTTAATTGCTGTACAACATGCGGACATGATATCCTATTTACAAACACCACTAGAACAAATCCCTCTATTCATTAAGAGAATGTAATTATATATCTATCCTAACCATTTTGAATACATGGATACAAAATGGACATTCATTTGTATACGCCTTTTCTTTAAGTTCCGTTATTTGAACATTATAGGTGTGTAAACTCATCAAAATATTCTAAAAGAGTCCAGTAGCCCATAATAGTATTGAGTCCTTCGCTTGATGGACAATGTCAGAAATTGTTGACCTGAGTCCCCTGCAGCTCAACATAACAGCATGGCTTTACTTATTATATTTTGCTTTTATACTTTTCTGCTGCATGGTTAACGCCAAGGTAAAGCGGGACCTATGCAATAAGAGTTGTAGCAATTGGGCCTGATAAGGTCAGTGAAATCCCCTCAGGATTTATCCTGAGATCCTGTACCTCAGATTGTAGAACCTATGTCAGTGTCAGCCATGTGGATGAGTCACGGCCAATACTTGGCCAATATGCTCTCTGTGAAAGCCTGAGAGAATGTTTTCTC